GGTTTGACCAAGATGAAGTCGGCGCTCGTCGACTTCCTCATCAACGCCGGCATCAAGCTGACGTCGATTGCGAGCTACAACCACCTCGGCAACAATGACGGCAAGAACCTCAGCTCGCAGAAGCAGTTCCGCTCCAAGGAGATCTCCAAGTCCAACGTTGTCGACGACATGGTCGAGGCCAACACGGTCCTCTACAAGGAGGGCGAGCACCCCGACCACTGCGTCGTCATCAAGTACATGCCGGGCGTGGGCGACAACAAGCGCGCGCTCGACGAGTACTACGCCGAGATCTTCATGGGTGGCCACCAGACCATCTCCATGTTCAACGTGTGCGAGGACTCGCTGCTGGCGTCGCCGCTCATCATTGACCTCGTGCTCGTCGCCGAGATGATGACGCGCATCCAGTGGAAGGCCACGTCGGTCGACGAGGCCGCCGGCAAGGGCTTCAAGGGCTTCCACAGCGTGCTCAGCGTGCTGAGCTACATGCTCAAGGCGCCCCTGACGCCCCCCGGCACGCCCGTCGTCAACGCCCTTGCCAAGCAGCGCTCGGCCCTGACCAACATCTTCCGCGCCTGCGTCGGTCTCGAGCCGGAGAGCGACATGACGCTCGAGCACAAGCTCTTCTAGGAGCTGCGTGACTCTGGCATGTTTGCGAACTGGGGCCTCAGACTGTCCATCGGCCACGGTATGCGAATGCGATGCTTGGTGATTATCGCTTCTTACAAGCTTGTCCAGTCTTTACCGTTTGCAGATTGACTCAAGATTGACAAAATAAAAACAACAACGACAGTCATTACCGTACCTTTCTGTTCCTTCAATCCTGTCGTGTTTGACTTGCATGTTTCGTGATGTGTGTGCGAGCCATGTCGCATGATGATATGAAGTCAGTGAGGGGGATGATTTGACAGGTGCCAGACATGTGACACGCCATTGGAAGCAGACTTGGCAGAGTGTGGCCCCCAACAAGTAAGTAAGTGCCCGACTTGCTGGGGTGAATCATCTTAATGATGATTGGCGAGGCTCGGCCGGGGTCGTCGCCAGTTGTGTTTGCACAACGAGGGGGTTCGTATGAACAAGTGAACAAGGAGTACATGGTACTTAGATTGCGAGGAGATTGAGAAGGAGATTGCCGCAGGCTGTAGGCAATGGGGGAAGAAGCTTTTTGCCAAGACAAGTGTAGCACACGCACATGCCATTTGTCCATGCCGTTCCTTCTTGTCTTATGTTTCCTGAGCCATCCTCCTTCCTCACGCTCGGTGTTTCGTGGCGAAGGAACGATAGAAAGAGAGAGACGGCGAAAGCGTTGACTCACGACAATGTTGTTTCCCAAAGTACTGGGAAGGGTCGCCCTGGCCGCCAATGCAGGTACGTGAGCCAGCCTCACCTTATTTGCTGGGTCCTTGGGGTGTAGCTTCCCCTGGAAATCCATCCCGCCCCCCCCTTCTCCTTCCCACCCAACTAGCATCAACGCCTCTCGCTGTTGCCGTTTGTTCCGGTGCCTCCAAGGCCCAATCCAGGTTCACGGGTCGCGCGGCACATGCAGTTCTTCCCTTGATCCTCTAGAGACGACATACTCGTTCCTTGTTTCAATGAATTGGCTGACAAGTTAGCCCTCTCGACATACCCCACGCCTGTCCACGCCCAAGAGACGGGCCAGTCCGTCTTCGTGTCTCCCGACACCCTCGTCACCTTCGCCTTCGCCGCTCCGACCGACCACAATCGCGATGTCTACTTCTCCCTGCGCGTTCACCAGAGCGTCACCTGGGGTGCCGTCGGCCTTGGGTCAGACGACATGCCCAATTCCCTGATTCTCATGCTCTACCACGATGACGAAGGCACCGGCGTCACCTTCTCGCCTCGCATCGCCTTTGGCAACTACGAGCCCGAGTACTACTCCCACATGCGCTGGGAGGTGCTCGACGGTACTGGCATACAAGGCGACTACTTGGTCTTCAACGCACGCTGCACCGACCACTGTCGCACCTGGCTGCACGGCTCCCTCGATGTCTTTGATCACGATCAGAAGGCCATCTGGGCCGTTGGTCCCGACGGCAGCCTGCGTTCTGACGACATGGACGCGCCGCTGCCCATGCATAGGCAGTTTGGCGGCTTCGAGATCGACATGGGCCGCACCAACAAGGTCAACGCCACGAGCATCAGCGCCGACGCGAAGAACATTGGCACCGAGGCGAGATTCCACCGCCAGAGCCATCGCGATCTCAAGTCACGGTTTCACGCCATCTTCATGATCATGTCCGTCTGCGTGTTGCTGCCGGCAGGCATATTGTGCCTGCGTGCCGGCCAGATGGTGCGCTGGCACGGCATCGTCCAAAGCGTCGCCCTCGTCTTTGCCATTGTCGGTGTCAGCCTAGGCATTGTCACGAGTTTCCTGTATCAACGTGTAGGTTTAGGCTCCTGTCGACCCCACCCCGAGGCAAGCATGTCACTGACCCGAACCAGTCTCGCGGATTCAACGACAGGCACCAGATCATCGGCCTTGTCGTCTTTGGCCTATTTTTCGGCCAGTTTGTACTCGGCATCCTGCACCACTTGCAGTTTAAGCGCACGAATAAGCCCACCAAGCTGCAAACCCCGCACCGGTGGACTGGACGCATCATACTCTTCGTCGGCACTTTTAATGCGTTCCTGTAAGCGTTCCCGCTTTGACCTCGATTGCATAGACTAGATGTACTGACCACAGCAGCGGCTTCTCGTTCGCACTCAACCGCCAAGAGGGTTATTTCCTCGCTGCTCTTGTCATCGCCGTATGCGGTTTCTCGCTCTTCTTCATGTTCGGCCAGGGCTTCCTCCGCCGCCGCCAGCAGCGCCACACGAACGGCCCCTTTTACGGCGGACACCCTTCGGGCCAAGAGCCGTGGCGCCACCAGGGCCAGGCGCAGCCCGGCGGCGGCAACGCAGGCTACCAGCCTGGCTATGGCTTTGCCGGCCACGCAGCGCCAGCAGGATATGCCCCGCCCGGCGGCCCTCTGTCTCCCGGCGGCTATGCCGCGCCACCGCCGTATGAAGGACCGCCGCCCGCACAGGGATCAGGCGCCAGCATTGGGTTGTCGACCATGAGCCCGGCCTCTGGTAGGGATCGGGAGAGGGACCGTAAGGATGGTGATGGGGGTGACCTCGGACCAGTGCAGACTCCGAGAGAAACATTGTAGGCTTGATTGAGGTAGCAGATGGCGTTGGGATTTTTTTAGCATGAATACAGATAATAATTGGCATGTCATTTGTATTTGTATGTTGTCATGTGCTTTTCCTACTCTTGGGAATCTAGTTTCAGCTACTTTTTCGTTCTCTTGCCAGCGTGCACGCAAGGATGTATATGAATGGAAGGCTGAGACCGAATGCTCCCGGAATGTGCAAACTCAAGAGTATAGACAAAAGAGGGACCGGCCACCCCGCCACACACCGACAGGCTTAGTCCTCCTCGTCCCCCTCGAGCCAAATCTCGTGGCCGTCGCCCTCGCGCAGGAACCAGCTCGCGAAGAAGCCGAGCACGGCAAAGGCGGCGAGGCCCCACCACACGGCGCCGACGACGCCGGCCTCGAGCCCGACGCCGTAGGCCCAGCCGCCGAGGACGGGCCCGATGGTGCGGGCGGCGCTCGAGACGCTCTGCGCGAGGCCGTGCACGGTGCCGAGCACGCTGGGGTGCGGCGCGCAGTTGTTGACGAGGATGGTCTGGCCCGGCAGCGCAAAGGTGCGGCCCGTGACCTGCAGGGCGAGGACGGCGGCGAGGGCGAGCCAGATGACGGGGCCGGTTTTGGGGGCGGGGCCGGCGCCGCTTGTGCCCGTGCCGGCATGGGCACTGTCTGGCGCGCGGCCTGACGAGGACGGGCACGAGGGCGAGGTAGGGGGCGAGGGTGTAGGCGAGCGGAAAGAAGGGCAGCGAGGCGCGGAAGGAACGCAGGGTGCCGAGGCGGGCGGACAGGCGCGGGTAGAGGAGCAGCTGCAGGGCGAGGCCGATGACGCCGAGGGTGGCCATGGCGAAGCCGATGGACGAGGGCGGCAGGCCGAGGCCGCCGGTGAAGCGCCAGGGCGGGGCGGCGGGGCCGGTCGAGACGGGCGTCGAGAGGAAGACGAACCAGAGCGAGTTGAAGGTGCCGACGTGCAGCGCGAGGATAAAGTGCGACGTGAAGGTGAAGAGGACGTTGCGCGTGAAGAGGCGGCGGAAGGGCAGGCGCGCTGTGTAGCGCGGGCGCGGGCGCTGACGGGGAGGAGCAGGCGGCGGCGGCGGCGGCGGCGGCGGCGATGAAGCACCGTGGCTGTCGTCGTCGTGCGAGCCCAGGGGGCTGTCGGGCTCGAGCTCCACGTCCGTGTCTGTGTCTAGGTCGGACAGCGTGCTGTGGTGCCGCGAGTGCGTGTGCAGGGGCCGGTAGCCGGCGGTGCTGCGGGCGCGGCGCATGCGAGCGAGCAGCCGCCGGCACCAGGCTGTCAGGGCTAGTCTGAACCGGATGCCCAAGTCTGGGCCGTGGTCGTGAAGGGCGTCGAGAGTCTGTGCTTCGTGTCAGCAGAGGGCCACGACGAGAAGTGAACAGCGGGAGGGAGAGGCGAAGAGAAAACAAAAGAAAAAGAGCATGGCACGAACCTCTTCGAGGAAGAGCCAGATGGATGACATGGCCGTGAAGAGGAAAACGGCGCTGACGAGATTCGGCGCGGCATACGGGTACTTTTTGAAGAACTCGACCTGGCCAAAGAGGCTGGGATAGCTGCCGGCCGGGTCACTCAACAGGCCGCCTAGGATGGGACCGATGATGACGCCGACGTTGAAGGTCATGGGTAGGATCAAGAAGGCTCTCGACTGGTACTTCTTGTCGCGTATGATCTCGCTGATCATGGTCCTCATGACGCCGACGTTGCCGTTGGTCACACCACCCAGCAGACGGAAGCACAGGGCCTGGGGGAAGGTCGTGGAGAAGCCAAAGCCAATAGCCGACACACAGGTGCCTCCGAGTCCGCAGAGGATGACCATCTTACGACCAAAGACGGGCGAATCGGCAAGGCGCCCCCACAGCAGGGCCGTCGTGAACTGCGCGGCGGTGAAGGAGGCGTGGAGGATACCAGCCTGCGAGGCGATGACGGCATCGGAGAGCGAAGGGTCAAACCATTTGAGCTGGTAAAACATGTACGCCGTCAGGGACGTGTGGACGAGGGGCTCGCTGAGGCGGGCCAAGGTGATGACGAGGAGCTGGTTCTTGCGGGGAAGATCCCGCCAGGCGACGGGCTTGGAGGGCCCATCTGGCGGGGTGACGACTATCGGAGCGGGGCTCGGGTCCGGCGCCGATATTGGAATGACGCCCGTGCCAGGGTCACGGAGTGTCTCATCGAGCTGCTGTTGGATCGTCTCATCATCCGAGTCCTCTTTTTCCGAGTCTGAGTCAGGGTCTCGTCGGGAGGGCACCCGATCATATGCGGTGTGACTCGTTGCCATGAGAGAGCGCGTCACTCACTCGCTGTCTGGAGAGACCGGTAGAGTGGCGGCAGGTGTGGTGGAGAAGATCAATCGAGAGATAGAGAGGCAGAGAGAAGTGAAGGTGAGAGCAAGTAGGATGCGAGGTACTGGTGGGATTCGTCATCGGAAGAGAGCCGCGACATCGCTCACGGAACGGCGCGGCCCCACAGCTCGGGGGCCGATTACGGCGGCTTCGGAATTAGCTTCGGAACGTCGTGGGGGGTGGCAGCAACTGCCATGCGACTGCTGGTACAGATGACCGGTGGTGTTCCTGTCCCCGGAGATGGCATGAGGCGAGAAGTAGAGTGTGACATTCGTCGAGTCCAGTAGAAACCAGACTTGTGATGTAGGAGGTCAGGCTGACAGGCTGTCAGGCTGACAGGCTGTCATGTCAGGCCTGGAATGCCGTCATCTCTCGGTTGACGGGGGGTTCCGGGGCGTTTCCCTGCCAAAAATACAGCGTGCTTCAGGCCCTGTCATGTCGACGCGTTAATGAGGCAAAGGTGTGTCTTATCGACGCGTTTAGCGGGTCCGAGGCCGCGATAAGACACCAGCCCCGCCACTAAACACGTCCCGCGGTGCACGTCCCCGGCTCGCGTCTGCAATCCCTGGACGCGTCTCGTCGCCCATGTAAAAGTACCTTGAGGTAGGTACCTACCTTCCCTCGTCTCCCTACCAGACCACACCACACACCTCACCTTGATACCACATACCCACTACAACGCAAAGATCCGAACAATCACCAAACATCCGCTTCCATTGCCTCGCGCTTGGTTGACCTACACCCATTGATACCCTCCACCACCCTCATCGTATACCCAACCCGCCACACCCAGACACAATGGCCGCTGCGCGGTCCCCTTCGCCCATGGCCAGCCCAGGCCCCGAGCTTCTGCTCTCTCCCCGATCCAGAATGGAAGCACGCCTTGCTGCCATGGACTCAAGCTCTGAAGACGGAGAATCACACACTGCGCCCCGTCGTGCGAAGAGGTCCTCACCAACACCAACACCAACACGTCGTTCGCCGCGCCCCATGCCTACACAAGAGTCAGACGACGACTCGGAAGAGGAGATCCGACCACGAGGACGCATGGCCGCACGAATGCTCGGAAACCTTACTACAGCACCCACATCAGACGCAGCCATGCCTGACGCCGCCCACGAGAACGACGAGGAGGATGACATTATCGCAGCACCGAGACGCCTCAAGAGGAGAGAGGCGCCCGAAGCCACCACGCCCAGGGATCAGAGTCCTGCCGCCAGCTCCAGCCCAGGCCTGTTTGTCTCCCGTCACCAGACGCCTGCTCCGGCAGAACAAGCCGGCGCCTCGGACTCGGGCTCGGATGACAGCATGCCCGACCTCAAGAGCTCGCGCTTTGCAGCCCTTGTCAAACGCAAACGCGACGAGAGGCTGGCACGCGAGGCAGAAGAGGAGAAGAAGAGGCAGGAGAGGATGGCGCGCCAGGCCGACCTCGACATTCTCGACGACTCGGACGGCAATGTCTCGAGCATCACCGACGACGAGGGCGGTCGCCAGCTCTCGCAAATGGCGAGGCCCACCAGGAAGGCTGGCAAGAAGGCCATGGAGGAAATGAACCGCGAGACGCAGCGCATGGCACGCAACATGCAATTGGCCCACGAAGCCAAGACGAGAAAGAAGATCACCAAGGCAAGCCTCTTTGAGCGCTTCAACTTCAGGACCGCCCCCGCTGCCGCTGCCGCTGCCGCTGCCGCGCCCGCTCCCGAGCCCAAGACGGCCAGCTCTAGCCGTCCTGGCACGCCCAACTCGGCTCACAACTCTGACGTCGACATGAAGGACGACAACGACACGCCGCCCAGCTCGCCCCCTGCGGATGATTCCGCCAAAGACGCCGCCACAACCGCCCAGCCTGTCGCCGCCCCAGCACAAAACGACGAGGATGACTTGCCGTCTCTGGCCGAGCTTCTACATGGTGCCCCTCAAAAGTCAGCCAAGGCCAAGGGCAAGGAAATTGCTGTCAACTCTCCTCCCAAGCCCACAACCAAAGCACCCGCGACGAAGCGTCAGTTCCGTGTCAAGATGCCCGAGGTATCTGTGAACCTGGTCAGCCTCGATTCGGACGAGGAGCTCGAGGTTGCCGTGGCCAAGCGCACGACACGCATCGACGCCGTCTTCGACAAGGTCCCCGAGAAGAAGACCAACGAGGCGCAGGCGCTGCACGCTCTGCGTCTTCTCGCCCAGGTCAAATCGCCCGGCAAGGAGGTCCGCCAGAAGAAGGGCAAGCCCTCCATGACCTCTGGCGAGCTCGGACTCATGCTTCACCAGCGCGCCCGCCAGCAGGCGAAGCTCGAGCGCGAGCGCCGACTCGAGGCGCTCAAGGCCAAGGGCATCGTTGTGCAGACAGCCGAGGAGCGTGAGAAGGAGATGCAGGAAGTCGAGGACATTGTCACCAAGGCGCGCAAGGAGGCCGAGGAGATTATGGAGAGGGAGAGGGAAGCCGCCAAGGAAGAGCGTCGCATCAAGATCAGGAACGGCGAGCTGGACCCGCTGGCCTGGGATGACAGCGAGGACGACGACGATTATGAGGGCTCCGACGAGGGTCAGGATGAGGAGGACGAGGCCGAGGTTGAACTTTCTGGCTCCGAAGACGAGACCGACATGGTCGACAACGAAGCCGAAGAGGCCGATACCGCCTCTGGTGCCGAGCAAGAGGCTTCTGGTGACGAGCAGGAGCAAACCGGCTCCGATGAGGAGGCTGCGCTTCCCAAACGCAACGCTCGACGATCGAAGAAGAATGCCCACGTCATCTCTGACGACGAAGACGAGGAAGCTGAAATTGTCGAGGCGACTCCCAAGCCCAAGACGACAAGCCACGTGTCGCCGGTCATCGCCAGCAATAACTCACCCGCCATGCCGACTTCGGTTCTCCGCTCTGCCAAGAAGACTTTCATTCCTGGTCTTCCGATTACTGGCCCCGCAGGCCTGGGTCTGACCCAGATCTTCGCTGGCACCATGGACGACAGCCAGGACATGCCTGGGGGCGCGTCAATGGCATCGCCCATGCCCACCTTTGGTGGTTTCCCCAACTTTGACGAGGAGACGCAGCCTGACGAGGACATGATTCTCGACAGCCAGTCTGGCGACACGCAGAAGGTCCCCACCCAGCAGGGTGCTGAGACTCAGGGCATCCAGCTTCACTACACGCAGTCTCAGATGCACGGATTTGACAGCCTCCTGCGCGGCGATGACCTCAACTCGACACAGGTCGACATGGACGCTTCCCAGGATGGCGGCCTCCAGGACTACACGCCTCTGCGAGAGCGCTTCTTCGAGGCTCCAGCCTCGACCATCCAGACCCAAACTCAGGGCGGAGATGTGGAGGAGTCTATTCAGGACTCGCCCCTTGTTCGCAGAGGACGTCTCCGTCGCAAGATCGAGGACATGGCAGAGGAACCCGAAGCGACATTTGCTTCCGAATCTGGCGTGACCGTCGATGCCGAGGTCAAGTCGTCTGCCACCGCCTTTGATGCCCTGAAAGCAGCTGCGAAGAAGGCGAAGAAGCTGAAGGAGTTCAACAAGAAGAAGAGCAAGGCCAAGGACATGTTCGAGGAGCAAGCCGACGAGTCCGAGGATGAATATGCCGGCCTCGGAGGCGCCGACGGCGAGGACAGCAGCGACGATGATGACGCGGCGTCCGTCAAGGAGATGATTGACGACGAGGCTGGCAAGGATGGCGACGAGCGCAAGATCGCAGCGCTCTACGCGTGAGTAGACACTTGCCTAGCGACGCCACAGATGATGACCAAACTGACATGGATCCAGGGAACGTGAACGTGCACGCGATGAACAGCAGGTTGACAAGCTCTTCCACGACCTCACGACGGGCATGCTGCGCCGCAAGAGGGGTGCTGACTACGACCTTTCCGACTCGGATGACGGCGGCGAGGCCCGTCGTCGCCTCAAGCGCAGGCAGTTCGCCAAGATGCAGAAGGCTCTCTTCGCGGACGAGCGCATCAAGAAGATTGCCGAAAACCCTGGCAACCAGGCGTTCATGCGCACGATTGAGGACCGCGGAAGTGACGAAGAGATGGACTTTCTCGAGATGGGACCCGAACCAATGGAGGTGGAAGTCGAGGACGAGTCGCAGTCGCAAGGGCAGACGGTGCCGGACAGCCAGCCTGCCAACGAGAAGGCCAAGCCTCTCGGCGCAGCTGCGACCACCAACCCCCGTCGCAACAAGGAGGGCAGGAAGCCGTCCAACCTTGGCGAGATTCGCGAGTCTGTCTCGAGCCTGCTCGAGGATCCGAACGACCTGCTCATCGCCGCCACGGGGGTTGACTCGGACAGCGAGGCTGAGGACGAGCGGCCCTCGACGGCGCAGAGCAACAAGGAGAACACGAGCCCCGGCAAGGCGAACCCCAGGAGGACGGCGGCACCCAAGCACGCCGTCATCGACCGCATGTCGCTGAAGCGCGACTCGTCCTCGAACCTGTCGGCCAGCACCAAGCTCGCCTTCTCCTCGACCACGGCAGCCTCGGGCTTCAAGGTGCCGGCGTTGCTGCGCAGGGCGACGACCAACTCGCTGGCAAGCAGCACGAGCACGAGCGGGAGCGCAACGTCAACGTCGAATGGGCTGTCGGGCGGTGGGTTCGGCGATGAAGGCAAGATCCGGAAGACGGCGAGCAAGAAGTCTGGCGTCAGCTACCTGGCGCGCGAGACGGAGCGCAGGGCGGTGATTCAGCAGCATGATCAGAGGAGGGAGGCGAGGAAGCTGCGTGGCGCGGAGAAGCGTGGCAAGGCTGTGGGTGGACTGTTTGGATCCGGCAAGTTTGAGTGAGCATGATCCTTTTGTAGGGTGATCCTTTTGGTAGGGTGATCCTTTTGGTAGGGTAGGTAGGCATGGTTTAGGAAGCATGGCGTTGGGGGTTCATAGCGTGCGCAGGCGAGTTTGGCTGGGACTGCACGGTTTTGACTGTCGTTCTGAATACTGAAATGTTGACTCGATTGTTTTGCCATGTTGAAGTTGCTGGTGAAATGAAGTTACTGGTGAAGTTACTGGTGAAGTCACTGGTGAAGTTACTGGTGAAGTTACTGGTGCTGTTAGTGGTGAAGTTACTGGTGCTGTTACTGGTGATGGGGCCCTGAAGCATGCCACAGGGGTCGTTCTGCCCCACCAGCGACCGACTTGGGCCTCGAAGGCGCCGCATCAGATCGTGACCTCGCTCTTTCTACACAAACACGCTCCCTCCCAACGCGCGACAACTTACCTTCCCCTCCATTGTCCACCCTCCAACCTGAAGAGCACCATATTTCTTCTCAACTCTAGCGATGGTCGAAACAAGAGCCATATCGCGCCTGAACCCTCACGCAGCTGGCTGGGCCTGATTCCCCCTCCCTTCACTCTGGTACCCTTTGGTCAATTACACACGGACAATGCTGTCTCCAGCACCATGACACCCGGCCAACCCCCCTCTGTACGTCGCGTCGCCCCCTTCTCTCGACTGACGTAGGGTCCGTTCACAAGCTCATGCGGCAGGACACACAAAGACACCGGACCCCCGAAAGTTCCTCCTCACCAAGAGACACCCGCCCTCGTCGCGGGACACGACGACGACGCCGGGACACCCGCGGCAGTTCCAGCCCAGCGGCGCCGCCACCGCCGCGAGCAGCAGCCAGCAGCAGCAGCAGCAGCAGCAGCAAAAGTTCCACGCGACGCCGCGCTTCGCGGCTCCTTCTTCGTCTTCGTTCGCGTCGACGCCGCGCCCGCCGTCGAGCGCGCAGGGGTTCGCGCCCGGGTTCGGGTTCCCCGGGACGAGCGCGGCGCGGCGGCAGAGGGAGGCGATTGTCGATGATGGGGTCGACAGCTCGCCGACGGGCGTGAGGGGGGGGTTGGGCGGGTCTATCGAGGATGAGTCGTCGGCGGGGGGGCGATCCGATTCGGAAGAGGAGGCGGGACGCGAGGGAGGGGCAGAGGAAGAGCAAGCGGAAGAGGAAGGGGCTCGGGACTCGAGCCCCGGGGGCGAGGGGCCGACGCCGAAGAGGAGGCGGGTCGAGATCGACTCGGAAGAGGGGGGGTCGCAGCTGTCTGATGGGTACAGGGACGGCGAGATACGTACTCTGGATGAGCTGGACGAGCGCGATGTGCGAGGAGACGAGGACGAGATGATGCTCGATGCGCCGGTGACGCCTTTGCAGGGCGGAACGGAGGCGTCAGACAACGAAGACGACGACAATGATGGCGAAGAAGAGGAAGAAGAAGAGGTGCGTGATGCGGCGGCCGCACGAAACCAGCAGCCTACCTTCCAGCGGCCGCCGCGGTTTCGCGCGCCAGAGGTCGAGGCGCCCAAGTCGGACGGGCTGCCGGAGGCCTTCTCGCCGCAGAGACGCGGGGTCAGGTACATCCCCGGGGGCCTCGCGGCAGAGATGCAGTCACGGCTCGCCGAGGTCAAGGGGTGGAGTGGGAGGCATGAGAGACAGTCGGAGACGGCCGTGCAGTTCGTCGTGGAGGAGGTCGAGGCCGGGGGCAGGATGTATCTGGTCAGAGGGCGACAGCTTCAAGCCGAGGCGGAGGCGGGGGGCATGTCACTCTCGGTGAGGCTGATGCTGGCTGGCGAGGGCAAGTTGACGGGTCTCGCGAAGAAGGCCGAGGTTCACAAGGGCGTCGTCATTGCGATTGCACAGCCGGCGTGGGAGGTCACGCTTGGACAGGGCCACGGGCAAGACAGATGGGTCGTTGCCTGTGACTGGGCTGTACAAGCGGGATAGACAGGGTGGCCGATGGTGTTGATTCGGATCTTGGGGATATAAGCTACTAGGTACCTTACCTACCCAGGTACCTTACCTACCTAGGTAGGTAGGTAGGTACCTAGGGGTGTTGCATGCCGGCTTCAGGGGCATAATTGGGGGGCCTTGGGGCAACATCCACTAGAACCAGATGATAACCCTCACCCTGCCCTCGTCCCGCCGAAGTGGCACGGTATGCACCGCGGGCTTCCAGGACGTAATCATTGCTAAAAGTCGTGCCCTCTGCATCGACCCTCTTACCTAAATCTCGACGTGTTCTGACTGATGGAATCGTGCCCTAAGATGGACAACGACCAGCGTCCCTCTGAGATTGGTCAGGCTCCACCAGCGAAACGGTGGCCAAGACGTCGGACGTGTTCTCAGCGATGGAGGGTCACGTGGGCTTCGTCAGCTGCTTGCGCCCATCACACTGCACCCATCATGCCCTATAGCCATTTGGCTTCGAATGTCCCGGGTTCCTCGTCACTTATTACATGTCCCGTTCGTTGTCGCTTTCATCCCTTCCTTACCTCTGAATGAGTGCTGTTTGGGCTTCCTCTCCTTTGCGTCTTTGTCTTGATTCCTTGGGCTTCATCCGTTGATCCCCTGGCCCGCACATCGACAAGTCCACACCTAAGCCTGTCATGTTCAAGTACATGTACCGGCGCATCGCCGTGGCGCCCACAGAGTCCGTCGATGACTACCTCGGCGTCGTCGTGCCTCTCGAGGAGGCCCATCTTCACAGCCACTCGGCGCGCACCGGCCGCACCGAGTTTGAGGACCCGCCATCTCCCGGCGACGACGCTGGCGACGACGCTGGCCATGCGCCAAAGGACAGGGAGGAGAGCGAGGGCATGCTCGAGATGAGCGCGGCCGAGTACAGCATCGAGGGTCTCCGGAGAGAAGTGAGGGCTGGCAAGGGCGACTCGACGGATTACGAGAGTGAGTGCCACGCTCAAAACCATCTCAAGTCACTCATGAGGAGGGAGAGGAAAAATGGACCACCATACTGACAGCGTGGCAGTGAGGTCAAAATTGATCAACAAGGCCATTCAGGATATCGGCATGGGAAAATACAACTGGCAGTTGTTCATTCTTTGCGGCTTTGGCTGGTTTGCCGATAAGTACGTTGTCTCAAGCCCCATGGAGAGAATCATCGTGGACATTGTTGCTAACACTCTTTCGTCCGTAGCCTTTGGATGCAAGTGAGTAGCATTGGCGAGGCGGGGCCTGAAGGAGACCCCCCTTACCAAGCATCTGTGGCTAACCATCGCAGGGCGTTTCTCTCTGTTTGCCATCATTATCAGCCGAGTTTGACGTGCCGACCAAGACGGTGCGGTACACGACAAGCTCCGTCTTTATCGGCCTGTGTTTTGGCAGTTTCATCTGGGGCATTGGCTCTGACATCTTGGGACGCCGCATCGCCTTCAACTGTACCCTGCTCATCACTAGCGTCTTTGGCATCCTCGTCTCCTTTGCCCCCTCCTGGGGCTGGACCTGCTTTCTCTTTGCCGCCCTTGGCTTCGGCGTCGGCGGCAATCTCCCTGTCGACGGTGCCCTCTTTCTCGAGTTTCTTCCCGACGCATCGAGCGCGCTGTTGACTCTGCTCTCTGTGTGGTGGCCTGTCGGCCAGCTCGTCTCCTCGCTCATCGCCTGGTACTGCATCGCCAACTGGCCCGCCGATCAAGGCTGGCGCCTGTTTGTTTTCATTATTGGCGTCATGACTCTGGTCATGTTTGGTATCCGCTGCTTCTTGTTCCACCTCTTTGAGTCGCCCAAATTCCTCCTGTCCAAGGGCCGCCAAGCCGAGGCCATTGCCGTCGTCCATGGTATCGCTTATAGGAACGGTGCAAAGACGTGGTTGACCGAAGAGATTATGAATGCCGTCGTCGACGACGTCGCCCACCCCGAACTCCACGAGGTCCGACCCGTTGGAGTCAGCGTACTGAAGGACAAGTTCAGCAAGTTCTCCGGCGACCGTATCCGGCCCCTCTTCCAGAACAGGACGCTCGGCATGGCGACAATGCTCATCTGGTTCTGCTGGGCCACCATTGGCCTCGGCTACCCGCTCTTCAACGCCTTCCTCCCCCAGTACCTGTCCGAGCACGGCGAGGACCCCTCGACCGGCGCCGGCGCCGGCGCCAGGGCCGAGGCGCCCGCAGAGGAGGGCACAACCATCTCGGCCGAGACATACCGCAACTACGCCATCACCTCAATCATGGGCATCCCCGGCGCCCTCCTCGCCGCGTACCTTGTCGACCACCAGTCTCCCTGGCTCGGCCGCCGCGGCACCCTCGCCATATCGACCTTTGTGTCAGCCGTCTTCCTCTTCCTCTTTGTCGAGTTTGGCACGACGCCCAACTCGAAGCTCTTCTTCTCCTGCGTCGAGGCCTTTGCCCAGAACATCATGTACGGCGTCCTTTACGCCTTCACCCCGGAGATCTTCCCGGCCCCCGTCCGCGGCGCCGGCACCGGCGTGGCGAGCTTCCTCAACCGCGTCACGGGCCTCATGGCGCCCATCATTGCCGCCAATATTCCCGGCGACGGCACGACGGCGCCCATCACCATGTCGGGCGTGCTGATCCTGCTGGCCTTTGTCGGCATGTGTCTGATTCCTATCGAGACGCGCGGCCGGCAGAGGCTGTGAGCGTAAGCTGCTCGCCATGGTCAGTTTCTTTTTTTTTTTTTTTTTTTTTAACCTTTTTACTCACAGCAAGTGGGGAATGGAATACTTGTAGACATGACTGTCCGTTGCATTGAAGGCGTCTGGCGTCCTGCACCGCTGCTGCTGGGCTGCGGCTGATTAGATACTTTGGGTTCGACTGTTTTATAGACGTACATATATTCTCTTCGATCGTCTTTGGTCATATCGTCGCTCGATTCGTCCCTTGTGCGTTGCGCGCCTTGTTTTTGTACCATGATTATGCTCAGGGCGCCATGTTTGTCTCTTCCTGTATCCTGACTTGCGCTCCTTCCTCGCGAGACCATTCACCCACCCCCACAACCAGGCAGCAACAGGTCCAGCAGTATATACCCCCCCGGCAACGGCCCTCTTCCCAACAGGACCACCATACCGTGACGCATGGTGTGGTGGTCCAGAGGCAGCTTAATAAATACCCGAGAGCGCATGCCTCTACAATGCGATACAGGGCGCGCAAGCTAAAAAGCGCGTGGAGGGACTGGGGGTTCGACGCCGGCCGACGGCAAAGGGAGAAATTCCTTTTTGCCTCCTTTTACACCCTCACCAGGTGTATTTCATTCATGCCATCACCTCGAATGCATCAAGTATACACTGCCAGGAATCCTGATATGTTTCTTTTTTGTATCTCCGCTTCGCTATCATGCTTTAAAAAGAAGATGCATTCAGCCCATGAGGTTTCATCACGGCCACTCTACGATGAGGGTCCATCAAGGCCACTCTACAGTCTACACACACCCAACAATCCCCCCCCTACCTGGTTCCCTTGGCACCGGCGGGCGCGTCGGTGCGGCGCCTGCGGATGGAGTTGCCCACGGCGTCCTTGACCATGGGGTCGGCGCGGATCGTGTTCTGGACCAGCCAGTCCTTGACCTTGGCGCGGACGGCGCCGAGGGCCTCGGCGTCGCCGGCGTACGGCACCATCTCCATGGACAGCAGCTTGGCGGCGTCGTGGTCGAGGCCGCGGGCCAGGGCGTCGAGGCGCTCGAGGCCCTGGTGCAGGCTCTCCTGGGCGTTGGCGTCGTCGTCGTCGTCGGGCTGCGGGGGGCCGCCGGCGAGCAAGACGTCGATGAGGGGCCCGAGCTGGTTAAAGGCAATGTAGAGGGTGATGCTGGCCTTGCGGGCGAGGGCGATGAGCTGGAAGGGCAGCAGGGGCTGGCGCGTGGTGAGGGCGGAGGTCAGGGCGTTGGCGGCGGTCAGGAAGGCGGGCGGCAGGGGCCGGGTGACGAGGGTGAGCTCGAAGAGGCAGAGGGCGGCGAGGAGGAGCCAGCGCCAGTAGCGGCCCCAGTCGAGGTAGCCGAGGAGGCCGAGGCCGT